ACTTGGATAGAAAGGCAATCTTGCATTGCTCCCATGTGTGGATGGATCCTCTTGGGAGGTTCTTTTCCCACTGATGTGCCTTATCTCCAAGGCTGAATGGGAACAATCTCAGTTTAAAGCTGTCTTCAGATACCCCATTGATCTTAGTGAGATCACAAACTCTGTCAAACTGATCCAGATGCTCCAAGGGATCCTCCATAGGTAAGCCATGGAACTTCTGATTCTAAACCATATTGATTAAAGAGGCCTTCACCTCAAAGTTGTTGTTTTGGACAGGCGGTGGCCTGATTCCTGCTCCATACTGGTGTGCATAAGCTCGGTCATTCTCACCAACAAAGACTGGTTGGGGCTGATGACGTATGGGTGGGTTTGGGTGGGGCTGTGGTGGATTAACCTGAGGTCGGTCTTGGTTCTGGTTACCCTGAGCGTGTCCCTGATGGACCTGAGCCTGTTGAGCCTGAATTACAATCCCATTACCAGCTCTTTGACCTTGATCAGCTTCTTGAGCCTGATGCTCATTCCCAACTTGCTGATTCATTCCTAACCTCTCCAAGTGAACAGCTCTTTCTCTTTGTCTTTTTGCTTGGCTTCTTGTGATCATAAACCTGAGAACAAAGACAGAACTTGAAAGGTGATCAGTAAAACAAAAGAAACTTGATCTCAAAAACTATATCAGAAACTAATGCTAACAATCCCCCACACAATATGGCAACGGCGCCAATTGATAACTAAGGTTTTCAAAGCCTTAATAAGGGTTATCAATCCCTTATGTCACTTGTAGTACAAAGGGTATCAATCCAAATGTGTGTTTGCTAGACACTAGTTTATGTGACAAGTTCTTAAGTCAAGCTGAATAAAAGATGAGTTTGGTGAAACCAGCAACAAGAAAGCATAAACAAGAAAGCATAAACAAGAAATGATTAATGAACTACTAAACAAGCAAGCAAACAAAATGATGATAAAGCAAATGATGAAAGATAAACCTCTAGATGTGATCATTGATTAGGGTGCTTTAGATATTGATTCATGATGCTAAGAACATAATGCAACACTTGCTACTCTTTAGTCTAGGCTTCTTAATCAGATTAATTCATTCCCATGACAATAATCCCTTTGCTAATCACCTAATCAAGTCTAACAACCATTAGATATAATCAAGCAATCAACAAGCATAATGCATCAAGCCTAATGAGTGACCAAACAATCTCTCAACCAAGAAGACTGAATCTTATACAGAAAGGCATAACAAGCAATCACATGATCTCAAACATTTTAACTTAGAACTCTAATCTAGACTAATCCTCTCATGAAGGCATTAATCTCTACACTAATCCACTTTCAAACCAAATTCCCATTTGTGAAATATGAACTAATGAGCATTAAGAGACAGTTGTAATATGTCATTTATGCTTCAAACAAACATTCCCATGGCATTTAAAACATAAACCCTTAAGTTAGCTCTTTCAGGCATTTCATCAAACACTTTTGGTGCATGAAATGCCTATGAACCCAGATTTCACTTTCCAAAGGAAATCTGGCATTAGGAGCAGCTAACTAAGGAAATGAAATGAGAATCTAAACCCTAAACATCACAAATCAAACATCTAAGCACCCTAATCTACAAACCTAGAAGTTTAAAAAGAAGACTACTCACTAATCATGATGAATACACCATTTCCTTTGCAAGAGGTGATGTTAATCATGATTAGAAGCAAAGATAAGAAGATGAGATGATAAGAAACAGACTTAGATTGATTCAATCCTTGAGATATCTCTTAAAAAACTCGTTTTTACACTAAAAAGGAAAGAAAACTAGAGAAAACAATGCTTAGTCCTTGGAAAAAAAACCCTAAAAAGTATTTATATCTCTCTAAAAACAAACTGGGTCAGCCCAGAACAAACGGGTCCTGACCCGGTGTGTGAGCCAAAACTCGCACAACCAAGAATTTGTGAAGAGAAATTAAGGGATCTGAAACTTCTAGGGTAATCGCAAGAACAGTAAGATCAAAAGAGGATTTTTATTGCTGTAAAGTGTTTAGTCCTTATTGCTTAGGGTTGCCAAAGTTTTCGGAATGAATTGTTAACATCATATGTTTATACTAACTTTCTAAACCGCCTAGCCAAAAATCTCGAGCGAGATTTTTGGAATATTTCCTTATCGCCTCGTGCGGCTGACCGCCTTTGCATCTCGCCTAGGGTTTTCCATGGGCTTCATCTTTCAAGGCTTTGCTTCGGCCCGTCCAAGCTTCTTTACGGCTCGGCCCATCTAGCCTTCTTCACGGCTCGACCCACTTGCCATGGGGACATGATCTAGCCCACCGCACCAATACACGGCTCGGCCCAAACGTGTTGAAGTGGGGCTCGGCCCATTTCTTTTGATGCGGCTCGGTCAACCTGTCTTCTTTCACGGCTCTCCCTACTGGCCTATCTGCACGGCTCTCCCATTTGTCTTGGTGAGAACGGCTCTCCACTTGTCATGGTGAGAACGGCTCTCCCACTTGGCGACCACGGCTCTCCCACTTATCTTTCTTCCATACTTAGCCATTCTGAGGTGGTTTATCTACTTGGGGTAAAAACCGACCCCAACAGTTAGCCCCCCAGCTCGTCAGTTTTGGAGGCGAGAGTGACGAGGTCCATTATTTCCGACCGTAGGATAAACCACTGAGTTAGACGCCGAGGCGTTTAGGGAATGAAGACGCCGGGGCGTTTTGGGAATGAAGACGCCGAGGCGTTCTGGGAATGAAGGCGCCGAGGCGTTCTGGGAATGAAGGCGCCGAGGCGTTTTGGGAATGAAGGCACCAAGGCGTTTTGGGAATGAAGACGCCGAGGCGTTCCCAAGGAGTGCCGAGGATGCCGAGGTGTTCGAGTTGGTACCGAAGATGCCGAGGCAAGATTAAGGACGAGGCGATTTTTTTTTTTTTTAATAGTGATAGCCCATGACGAGGTGATTTGAGGAGGTTATGCCGCGCCGAACAAATGGCGAGGCGTTTCGAGAGAAAGCTCGTGCCGAGCTGTTTTGTTAGCGGCAAGGCGTCTCAAGAAAGAACGTCAACGCCGAGCCGTTTCGTTAACGACGAGGCGTTTCAAGAAACATATTCAACGCCGAGCCGTTTTGTTAACGACGAGGCGATTCAAGAAACAGATTCAACGCCGAGCCGTTTCGTTAACGACGAGGCGATTCGAGAGAGAAAGAGTCAATACCGAGCCGTTTCGTTAACGACGAGGCGTTTCAAGAGAACAGATTCAATACCGAGCCGTTTCGTTAACGACGAGGCGTTTCAAGAGGGAAAGATTCAATACCAAGCCGTTTCGTTAACCTGGGTACCCTGACTGTTGGTCTTCCGAGAGGAAATTCCTGATCTTTCGGCGCGTGCCAACGACGCAGTCCGGTATAGCCAATTCACCGCGGATCCCACGCGCTGTTGGACGGCTTCCCGAGGTTTACGCGGAATTCACGCACTTCGTTTTTTTTATAAATAGGTGAGCTCCTTCACTCTTCCTCATTATCTCCAGACTCACTCGTTTTCACTAAAGGTAGCTCTCCCTTCTCTCTTCTTTCTCTCACTAGTTTATTTATTTTCCGGCTAGGGTGTCCGAGGTCTCCGCCATCCCAGATATTTTTCCGGCAGAGGTTGGCCGAGTCCTTCTGTAATTCTTGTATAACTTGTAAATCATGTCGAGCCGCTCCGACAATTCGTTAGACTCGCTTTTTCATTACGAGCCGAGCCGCGTAGATGCTGAGGCGAGAAGTTCAACAGAATCCTCTGAGGTGTCTGTTTCGCCGAACCCTTCCAATTGTTCATCTGACGAGGCGTTGAATGATGCGAATCCATCAAACGAGGGTTCTGCAGATGACGAGCCGTTGGCTTCGACGAGCCGTCCCTAGGACCCGGTTCCTGATGAAGGTGTTAATCGTGCCATAGTAAAAGCCGAGGAGGAAGCATTTCCCTTTGACCTACTCGAGGCGAAGTACGAGTTGGAACGTCTCATGGCGTCCCGAGGCGCTTCCACATTTGGGTGAGGGCCACGAGTTAAAAGACTAAAGCCTGATCCGCCTGGCTCTACGCTTTCTTCCCTTGAGTCGCTCAAGGCGTTGAGGCATCGCTTCGGGATATCCGAGGCGGTGGAGTTTGTCGTTCCCGAGAAGAGCGACCGAGCCGACAAGCCTCCAGAGAATCACTTCACTCTGTACAAGCCTCCAGAGAATCACTTCACCCTGTCGTTCTTCGAGCTTTGCTTTCTCTGGTTCCCGATCCCCGGAGTGATCCTCGAATACCTTTGGAAACACGGGATCTCAATTGGGCAGATTATGCCGAGGGGATTACGGCATATGATCGGCATTTTAGTCAATCACCTGCTGAACTTGCTGGAAATCAGGAAAGCTCCGAAAGGAAATAAGTTCTATATTTCCAACAAGGCGAAGCGACGGATTATTGGCGGTTTTCCCAGCAAGGGTCAGTTTTGGACTAAACGATTCTTCTACGTCTTGGTGAACGAGGCGTCGGTCGGCGAAGATTACGTTCACCGAACCAAGACCGCTTGGGGACCACTTGGTAGCCGACCCGAAGCTTTGCTTCGGCTCGGAGATTCTGTTGATATTCTCTTTCTTTTCTAAAACTTTTGCTTTTTTGCTTTGTTTTGCAGTTCGGTGCTATCTTCCCCCGATTCCCGACGACCTCTTTACTGTTCAAGACTCTCTTTCGGCGTGGAAGGTTAATTGGAGAAAAAACTTCACCTTCGAAAGAGTAGAAAAAGCGCAAGCCATCCTTGCCGGAGTCCCCGTCAGTTCTTCGTCCTCAAGTTCTTCGAGAGATACCCGGGAGAAGATGGTGGTAATCGCTCTTAGAGAAAGGAAGAGGCGCGAGGAAGAGGAAGCCGCTAAATGAGCTGCCGAGGCGGCTCGCACGCAAACCGAGGCGGTTCCGGCGCAAGCCGAGGCGGTCTCAGCATAAACCGAGGCCATCCTTCAACCCGACCCTCCGAGCCGGGAAGGGGATGTGATGATCCGAGCCGCAGAAGGCGACACTGCCGAGGCGGCTGAGAAAGATATAGTGCCCGAGGTGGAACCGGGTGAAATTATCCCCGAGGTGTCCGCGGACGGCTCGGTGGCGCGGAGTAAGACTCCTTCGCAATCCGCCATCCTGGCCCTCCCGAAGTCGATGAGGCCACCGACTTCGGTCGTCCAGAAGCATGACTCTAGCCGAAAACGTTCGGCTACTGACAAGGGGAAAGGCGTCGCTGTCCAGAAGGACGATCCGTCCAAAAAGAGGCGGAAACCGACGCCCGGGGACCCCGCCGCGCGTAAATTGGTTGTTGACGACCCCGACGCTTCTGCCGTCATGTTCTCGCGTGTAAATAACGCGAACACGCGTCTTCCTCCTCCGGAGAAGCTGAGGAGGCCGAGGTCATACGGCGCGATGGCACAGCGTGGTACCAAGGTACGTTTCTATTCGCTTTCCTTTATTTTCGTAAACTTTTGCTAAGTGGTTAACGCGAGCTTGTTCTTTACAGTTTGTCGCGGCCATTAATGACCTGATGGCCGAGTATGAGGCGGACCTGTCTAAGGTCGAACGTCGCTTGGACGAGGCCCGAAATGAGACCGCGGCGTCAAAGGTGAAGCTGGAAGAGGCGCAAAACGAAGCCGCGGCAGCGAAGGGGAAACTCACCAAGGCGATGACCCGAGTGTCGAGGTTGGAAGAGGAGAAGATAGTTCTTCGAGCAGACATTAACAAAGTTTCCGCCTCGGTGATTCGCCTGGAGGAAGCAAGGAGAGCCAAAAGCGCCGAGGTGGCGTTGCTTAAAAGGCGTATCGAGGCCAAGGACGTGCTGTTCGAAGCCAAGGTCAAACGCGCGAAGAAGGAGGCGAGGCGTGAGCTGACGGCGAAGTTTCAGGAACGCCTTGCCAAGGTGGAGGAGGGTTTGATCAAGCTCGAGAAGGCCAAAAATGATGAGAACGATCTGGGACAGATCAAGAGCAATCTTGCGATGATTGCCGACCTGAAGAAGCCGGACGCCCCGACGCTTGACGATGAGGAGGCGAAGCTGAAAAGCTGGGAGAGTGAGTATGCCGACGACGAGGCGTACGAGCGTATTGCTTCCGAGATTCGGGGCGAACTGTATTACTCTCCCGTATCGCCAGACTCGGTCGACACCACCCTCGGCAACGAGCCGCTCGAAGAAACAGCGGCCAATTTAGGCGTTGTGGACCCGAACGGCTCGAACGCGGGTACGCCGATTCCCTCGAACCTTCTCGCCGATCGAGAATTGCAGTCCGCGGCATGAGTTTTGGCTCACAAATTTTTTTTGCTTGCTTCTGTACTTAGGATTTTATCCGCTCTCTTTTGAACTTTTATGTGTTTTGTGCCTGGACGGCTTTATCCACCCAACTCTTTGTTTTGTGCCCGACTCTTTTTTTTCGGACTTACTTGTCCATTAATCCGTAAAAATGTTTATGAAAAATTGTCAAGGACGAAGGCTGTTATGTTGAGAGCGATTTTGATTTCTTCCTTAACTGTATTTTTGAAATTGACCGAAACATGGGCTAAGGGATGAATTGTTTTAAGGACCTCATTTAGGTTCTAGGCAAATCTTTGATAGTAAAAGAGTGTTACGTGATAATGTTTAGGCAAATCTTTGCTGGTAATGCCGAGCCGTGTTTACGGCAAGGCGTTTTCGCTTTGAATGTTGCCGAGCCGTGTAAACGACGAGGCGTTTTTGTTTTGAATGGTGCCGAGCCGTGAAAACGACGAGGCGTTTTTGTTTTGTATGGTGCCAAGCCGTAAGGACGACGAGGCATTTTGGCTTTGTATGGTGCCGAGCCGTAAGGACGACGAGGCGTTTTGGCCTTGTATGGTGTCGAGCCGTAAGGACGACGAGGCGTTTTGGCTTTGTATGGTGCCGAGCCGTAAGAACGACGGGGATTTTTGGCTTTCGTTTTCGTTAGTCAAAGACGAATTGGTATTCTCATTGAACCTGACTATGGACCGGCGTTTCCGAGAGGATGACTATGCTTGTCTGGGTTTTAGGAGTTTACTTCGGTTTTAGAGAAAGCGATGTAGTCGCGGCTTATATTTTCGTGTGCGATAGTAAACCATGGCGACCTGATACGTTTTTGGTCTGATATTTGTATAGCGCGCTTAATTTTTATCCATAGAGGATGTAACTTGCACCCTCGTCCTAGGAAAGGTGGTAAAAGTCCGTTTAGAGAACTTTGTATTTTTTGCCCCGTTGTGGCCAGCAACGAGACGAGGCGTTAGGTGGCTTAGTTTGCCGAACTGAAACTGAGGACTGATTAAGGTCCGAGGTAATCAGGTCATGATTACTCGCCGAAGTGATGAGTGAAAAAATTAAAAAATCCGAACTTGTTACAATAAGTTGCTGATTTAGAAAGAATGAGAAACTAGCCGAAGCGATAATGAACAGACGTGAAATAAGTAGATGATTCAAAACGAATTGAGAATGTGTCGGAGTGGCGATGTTCCTAAGTGAGCAAGCTAAAATTGTAGAGTTAAAAGAGGTATGTATACGTACCCACTCCCCCCCCTTTTTAGGAGGGGGGACAGCTGAACCCGTCCGAGGACGGGCTGCCTACGTACCCTTTGCAGGGATCAAGCCGTCCCGTAGTTTATGTTGGTCGTGCTGTATCCTTAGTGATAGTATTTCTTCAGGTGCATTGCGTTCCATGATCTTGGAATCGCCTCGTCAGCTAATGTCGCGAGTTCGTAGACTCCTGGACGAACCACTTATGTGACCTTGTAAGGACCTTCCTAATTTGCTCCGAGCTTTCCTGCATTCTTCTCGGCAGTATTTTGGAAGACCTTCCGGAGAACGAGCTCCCCTGCTTTGAATCTTCGGCCACGAACGTTTTTGTTGTAGTATCGCGCCGTTGCTTGTTGATAGTTTTGTATTCGAATTAAGGCTTGGTCGCGCTTTTCGTTGATTAGGTCGAGCTCATCTAGCATCATTAAGTGGTCAGAGCCCTCATGTCCTGGTAGAAGTCTTCGTCGAATACCTGGGAAATCCACCTCGGCGGGAATTACGCACTCCGATCCGTAGACTAAAGCGAATGGAGTTTCCCCGGTGGCTCGGCGCGGAGTTGTTCGATGAGACCAAAGGACTCCTTCGAGTTCGTCCACCCACCGTCCCTTCTTGGCGTCGAGCCTCTTTTTCAGACCGTCGAGGATCGTCTTGTTGGCTGCTTCGGCTTGTCCGTTCCCTTGAGGGTATCTTGGCGTAGATTTGCTGAGGCGGATTTTCCACTTCTCGCAGAAGGCTTCGAAGCGTGTTGAGATGAACTGGGATCCGTTGTCGGTGACTATCTCGTAGGGGACCCCGTGTCGGCAGATGATATTTTTCCAGATGAAGTGCTCGACTTGAACATCTTTTATGCTTGCGTAGGAATCGGCTTCGACCCATTTGGAAAAGTAATCCGTGAGGACGAGCAGGAAACGCTTCTGCTTCGAGCGATGTAGAGGTCCAACGATGTCCATCGACCATCTCATGAATGGATAAGGTGATGAAATTGACGAGAGCAACTCGGTGGGTTGCTGAATTGTTGGAGCGTGCCGCTGACACTTCTCGCACTTCGCTGTAAATTTCTCGCCGTCCTTTACCATCGTGGGCCAGAAGTAGCCGTGCCGTTTAATCTTGATAGCGAGCGACCTTCCGCTGGAATGGTTCCCGCACGTGCCGCTGTGCACCTCGTGCATGATCTTTCTTGCCTCCGGTCCTTTGACGCATGTCATGAGAGGCCCTGAAAATCTCCACTTAAACACCTCGCCATCGACGAGGACATACCGCGCGGCCCGAGCTTTTAGTTTGCCGGCTTCCCATTTGTCGGTTGGCATCTCTCCATCGGCGATATACATTCGGATAGCTCCGAGCCATTCCTTGTCGCAGCCGTACTCCGGCTCGGCCGGCGAGGCGTCTTCGTCTATAGGAACGGCTTCGTCGTCCTCTGGTTCTTGTTCAGGAGGATTTATCAGCCGAACTCCTTCCACCTCTTCGATGCTAGGACGTTCGATGAATTCGACTGGGATCGTTCGCCGGAGGTCTGGGTCCGAGGTCAAAGCGAGTGCTGCCAATGCGTCGGCCGAGGTGTTTTCTCCTCGGGGGATACGAGTGAGTTCGAACTAATCGAATTTTTGCACCAACTCTCGGACCACTTTGAGGTAAGCTCCCATTCGTCCGTCCTTCGCCTCGTATTCTCCGTTGAACTGACATGCTACGAGCTGTGAATCGCAAAAGGTTCTTATCTTTCAAACTCCAATTCCCTGCGCTAGTCGTATGCCGGCGATCAGTGCTTTGTATTCTGATTCGTTGTTCGAGGCATGGAAGTTCAGGCAAAAAGACTGCTCCAATATTTCTCCGGCGGGAGAGGTGAGGCGGATTCCTATTCCCGAGCCGTGTTTAGACGACGAGCCGTCGACGTGCAGCGTCCACACTTCGTCTAGTGTTGGCTCGTTTGTTGCTTCGACGGGAAGTTCAATGAGAAAATCTGCGAGCACCTGTGACTTTGCAGACGACCTGTTCCGATACTCGATGTCGTATTCGCTTAGCTCTATGGCCCACTTGGCGAGCCGACCGGATTGGCTAGGGCTGTGTAGGATCGAGCGCAGTGGAAGCGTAGCGAGCACAACAATCGAATGTGATTGAAAGTACGGGTGCAGTTTCCGAGCCGAGACTACGACGGCTAGGGCAACCTTCTCGATCTAGGGGTAGCGAGTCTCGGCGTCGGTTAATGTCTGGCTGATGTAGAAGATGGGCTTTTGCTCGGATCGTTCTTCTCTGATAAGCACTCCACTTACAGCTGTAGCAGACACTGCGATGTAGAGGAAGAGTGGCTCTCCTTCGACTGGTTTTGCTAAGATTGGTGGGCTCGCCAGATAATTCTTCAATTCCTGGAAAGCCGTCTCGCATCGTTCGTCCCACTCAAATTTTTTGTTTCCTCGGAGGGTGTCGTAGAAGGGCAGGCATTTGTCTGTGGAACGGGAAATAAACCTGTTTAGCGCGGCGACTCTTCCTGTGAGCCTCTGCACTTCGCGCTTCGTCCTTGGAGAGGGCATCTCAATTAAAGCTTTGATCTGCTTGGGATTTGCTTCTATGCCTCGGTGAGTTACCAGATAGCCGAGGAATTCTCCCGAGGTGACCGCGAACCTGCACTTTGCCGGGTTTAGTTTCATGTTGTGCTTGGTCAATTGTTCGAAGCATTCCCGTAGATGCGCGACGTGGTCTTCCTCTTTGAGTGATTTGACTAACATGTCGTCGATGTATACTTCCATAGTTTTTCCGAGCTGAGCTGCGAACATTTTATTGACGAGCCGTTGATACGTTGCTCCTGCATTCTTGAGCCCGAACGGCATGACTTTGTAGCAGTATATCCCGCGATCAGTTATGAATGTCGTTTTTTCTCGATCGTCAGGATGCATTAGGATCTGATTGTAGCCGGAGAACGCGTCCATAAACATTAACAGTCTATTCCCTGCAGTGGCTTCGACGAGCCGGTCTATGTGTGGCAAGGGAAAGCTGTCTTTTGGGCACGCCTTGTTGAGGTCGGTAAAATCCACACATACTCGCCACTTGCCGTTCTTCTTCTTCACGACCACCGGATTTGCGAGCCGGTCCGGATATTTGGCCTCGGCGATTGATCCTACTTTGAGTAACCTTTCGACTTCGTCGTTAACTGCTTTAGCTCGTTCGGGGCCGAGCTTCCTTCTTTTCTGCTTCACTGGTTTAAAGGTCGGATCCACATTCAGGTCGTGACAGGTCACGTCGATGCTTATGCCTGGCATATCTTCTGCTGTCCAGGCGAAAGTGTTGATGTTTTCCTTGAGGAGGGAAAGGAGTTCGCTTCTCAGAGGCTCTTCCAGTTTTGTTCCTATTTCGACGCATCGCTCCGGGCGCGCCTCATCTATACATACCGAGTCCACTGCGTCGCATACTGGCTCGGCGCGTGTTTCGCGGCTCTCCGCGATCTGTAATTGCTATAAGAGTTTCGAGAGCTCGTTCGCGGGCTCTCGGTCTGTCTTCATCTTTTTGCGGTCGATGTCTGCTCGTGCGTCGGTGACGGGGTTCCTTAGCTTATGCTCGGCTAGGCAGCACACTCGTGACTCCTTTTGATTCCCCCAGATCGTTTTAACACCTGTTGGGGTTGGGAATTTGAGGCAGAGATGATAGGTAGAGGGTACCGCCCTCATCCCGTTGATCCACGGAGTTCCCATGATCACATTGTATATTGCTGGGTGATCGGTGACGCAGAATTCGACGATCTTAGTGACTCCGCC